AAAAATTGGTGAGTTGATTAGTCATTAGAGAGTGTATACTGAATACGGCTCTTCAATTATGAAATTGGATTACAATCTCCGAGAAAGTTTTCCTTATTGAGACAAACTTAATTTCAATCAATTATGTACTTAATCTACTTAATGGTCGCTAGTGTGGAGCACAGCGGGCCCTAAGTTAATTAATAGTCATGACAGTAAACGATATATTTCCACGAAATCTCAAGTTGGTATCATAGGTTCTATTTATTCCATATTCACACCCTTAAAATAACACTGTTAACATTTTTTAGGATAGTGAGGGTGTAATTACTATAATGCCCTTTAATCCTAAATTAATAAATAATATTTTAACCCCTAAATTACTAAAATTATAAAATTAACCATCTTATTTTAAAATTACATCAATTACACCCTCAATGACTATGCACTGTCTCGGTTTTCACCGGATCTGGGCTATTTCCGATGCCAGCGAAACCCCTGGTCACCTCCATCACCTTCCCTATCATCCATCGTCCAAAACCCCTCTGGTTCCCGACTCATTGGGCCCTCCAATCGCCGGTGTCGTCAACCTTAGGTTTTCGTTGTTCTTCGTCGGATTCTGGTCGATTCCGGTGACGAAAATCTAATTTGACGTCACCACTACAACCAGTATCTCCTAATCTACAAAACCCCTATGTCCCAGCAACCGTTTAGTGGCCATTCGCCGGTGGACATCGACGAAAACCAGTCGCATGTGGCGACTGTCGTGGCTGGAGATTGGCTGGCGATGAGGGGTTGTCAAGCGTATGGTTTTGTAGAGGGGAGGATGAGGGTTCGAATGGTGGTGACAAGGGTGATTTTGGGTGGAAGAATCGCCGGAAGAGAGCGAAAAACGACGGCGATGATGTTGCTAACGTGCGCCGGATTTTTGTTAAGGGCGGCGATCTGCTAATGTGCGCCTCCTCTGTGAAATGACCAATTTACCCCTGAGCCGTTATATCTAACCATTTTCAGTTACTTTAAGGGTGTGAATCTGGAATAAATGGAACCTGTGGTACCAACTTGGGATTTCATCAAAGCTAGGGTGGGAATATGTTGTTTACTCTAGTTATGAATAATAATTGCAAGATATAAAAAAAAAAAAAGTCTAAAATTATTATTTGAATAATATGGAAAACTATAAGTTATGGGTAGACAAGCATTGATTTCAATTTTAATAGATTAGGATGAAGTATTTTTGTTTATTTATTTATTTTTGTTATAACGGTCAGTTTACACTAATTTCGTTAACTCAATGAACATCTTATCCTACAAGTTCAATGTAGTAGGTAAGCCACAAAGTAACTCTAAGGTGGTTTGAACCCAAAAAGTTAATTAAGGGAACAAACATTCTTGACCGCCCGATCAACCTCTTGGGGTTAATTGCATGCATAAAAGTAAAAAAATAAAAGGATATGCAACTTAAATTTCTTTTACTTAAAATTATGATACAAACTTTCAACATTTAATCTTATATAATCTAATAAGAATGTAAAAGGTCACATATTATGACTCAATTGTTTTAATTTTTTTGGAGAATCTTTTATCTTTTTTGATGTAAAAGAGCATCTCTAAATGATTCTTTATATGACCTAAACTCTTTATAAATAGTTTATCTATAAAAACAAGAATCCAACAGACTCTTTATCTTTAAAATATAAATTAAAGTGTGAGTTTGGCTCTCCATTTCTATAGAGTTAAATTTCACTCTCTATCATAATTTTAATTAATAAATTACAATTTTTTTACATTTTATTTATTATTTCTCTCTCCCATTAAGTCTCTTTCTTGAAAATAAAGAACATCTTCATTAAATTTAAAGAGTCTATTGGATTTGAATAAAAATTGTGTTCTTTATATTTAAAAATTAATGAAGATGTTCTTTATTTATAAGAAAGATATTCTTCAAAATAAAAAGCATCATTGGAGATGCTCTAATTGTGGAGAGTCAAACTCACTATTTAATTTATATATAAACTCTTGGACTCTTGTTTCTATGGATAAATTCTTTATAATAAAGAGTTTATGTCATATAAAGAGTTTAGCTCAGAAACTATGATTGATCGACCCAGTGTAAGCTCATCGAAATATAGCTAAACCCAACATAAGTTAGTCGCGAACAATTTAAGGAATCATTCAATCAATCTCCAGATTACTTTAGATCTCAGATATTACAGGAATGACTCGATCAATAACGATTACTGCACAATCACAGCGTCAAATCACAAGAATATCGGAATTGCGATTCAAATCAATTGTAATCTCCTTAATTTCGATCTTTTCTTTGTACAAATCTTGTATAAAAACCCCCTCAAACGATGAGGAAGAGGTTACGATTTTCATATAAGAATTACATTGTAAACTCTCACAGCAAATACAAAAACACAGTGGATGTAGACTGTTAACCTCACCGATCTACTTTAAAAATCTCTTTGTTTTTAATTCATATTCATTGCTGATTTTCACTAATCACACACACATCGGTTTCAATTCTGACAAAGTCGATCGAATCACGCTGGTTGGTACAGAATTTTGTACCAACAAAATATAACTGCTTTTGTGGCATTCATATTTCATAATATCCCGACCATGTTCCTGATTTCTGATTTCTGATTTCCTTTAGGCAGAACGATTTACACCTACCCAAGGTTTGGAGAAACGATGATTGGTACCCAAAAGTTTTCAAAAAGACAAACAGGTACCTTTCGTTAGGGAAAAGACTAGAATGCCCTTTGAGAAATATTAGTTTATTTTTTTAATTACTTTTAGACTTCTTAAGTTTATTAATTTCATCAAATACCCCCAGAAAAAAGTTTAAAAATTTACAAAAATACCCCCATCCACCCATACTTGCCAGATTCTAGCGGCCACCACCGGTGGTAGCCAGAATCTGTCACAACGGTCTACGCCACCACCGGAAATGGCCGGTAGTTCACCGATCTGGCCGAAAAAGGTCAGATCGGTGAACTACCGGCAATTTTCGATGGTGGTCGCGGGAATCTGGCAAGTATGACTGAGTGGGGGTGTTTTTGTTAATTTTTAAACTTTTTTCTGAGGGTATTTGATGGAATTAATAAACTTAAGGGGTCTAAAATAATTAAAAAATAGACTAATATTTCTCAAAGGGCATTCTAGTCTTTTCCCTAATGAAAGGTACCTGTTTATCTTTTTGAAACCTGTTGGGTATTAATTTATCGTTTCTCCAAACCTTAGGTAGGCGTAAGTCGTTTTCCCATTTCCTTTATGGACATTGGCACCACCATGCTCCTGTGTCCATAATCCCATTTATGATGTTCTCATTGTTGCCATAAATGTGTACTTTTGAGGGTGCCCCTCGTTGGCGGTATTGCGCTGTATTAGAAGGCACTAATTTTTTTATCCTATGTTTGGCTCTAATTTTTGTTACACGGTAAATTGAGAAAAAAATGAGTCGCACCCCCTCGGGTTGAGTTGGGATTTAAAAATTTGTTACACAAATATTGTAAACAAATCAAAATTATTTAAATGCTACGAAAATAATGTTTAGAACAGCTTATGACCCCTGCCAGTAGTTCTATTATTTTCCAAATAACCAGAATCACAATTGTTATTTGAATAATTATATTAAAAAAAAAAAACAGTAGCGCGAGGAGAGAGAGAGAGAGAGAGAGAGGGCTCATACATGGCATCAACACATACATAAAAGTAATATAAATTATTTTAAATTTTTAATATTATAATAGAATTTGTGTGATATAACATATATCACGTCATAATATAATAAAATAATATAAAAAATAGTATAAATGTATCATTATTTAATTACAAAATCTTTGAAAAATCCTTGAAAATATATTGAAATAGCAATAATTGCCTATATGCAAAAAGAGTAGTACTACACTTATAAAGAAATTTTATAAAGATCTCTATACAAAGTGATGTGATAAAAAATAAATGAAAGAGTGAATTTAATGAGTTTAACTTTTTATTTTACTCTCTTATTCATATTTTATCACCTTATTTTATACAAAAATTATTGTAAGATTTGTTTGTATAGTATTATTTATGTAAAAAAATAATAATTCTATCTTTTCAAGTGACGTGCACTTCATCATCATCGCGTCATATTCTCTTTTTCTAACTCTTTTAAAATGAAGTTCATAAAGAGTGGGTGGCAGGCAGAAAATAACGTGAAGCTGAACGATTGACAGTAGAGAGCACATATAATAAAATAAAAGAGACAAGATTCTGTAATTTACAGCAAATACAGAAGCAAAAGGTTGTGGTTTTTATCTGCAGTGACGCCGCCAGTTAACATGGACCATATGCTAACAAGTGGCACACAATATATGGTCCAGATTACTCCCTACTCATCGCCATTCAAATTTGAGATAATAATTTATGAAACACAATTACATCAATTAGCTCATTTCACATCATGACTTTGTTTTTTTATTATAATAACATATAGACAACATCGCATACTAGAGTTTTTTTGTATAATTAGAATCATTTAATAAAGGTTATACATTTTTCATATATAATATGAATAAGGGGCTTGTAAACTTAAAAAGATTTGGTCAGATGCATTGCTTAATTTGCAAAAAGGAATTAATTTTATAGAATGTGAATTTCTTAATTTATTTAGCGATGTCCCTCTTATATCTTGTGGTACGTTCGAGATACTTATATCAAATAAATAATATTATCATCACGTGTCTTATGAATAAAAAATATTGAGATTTGGAGGTATAAAATATTCTTATATTTTTGGAATATGAGTAAGATAGATAATGTTGTTGATAAAATGACAAGCTCAGACCATATTGAATTGGTGGAGGAGGCTGGCACACGTGACGTGAATCCCCCCACTTTTGAATCTCATTGTGAAAAACTTAGGATATCTTTCATCAATCAACATTTAAAGCTATATATATATATATATATATATATAAAGATAACAAAAGATAGAATCAAATGCTAAATGGGGTAATTTCTATTGTACAATGTCAATTTGTAGATACATAATGAATATGGGATTGGCCTTTACAGAGCTTTCCTTTGCTACTTCCACTACTTCTTTTTTGCATCAATCTAATGGACGGCAGAAAATGTTCTAGTAGAAGTAGCAAAAAGAAGCATGGGAAAGAGAAACCCCAACCGTTTTCTAGGGAAACTATTCACTACAAAAAACAAAAGGGCAAGGGCTTACTCTTTATGAAGCCCTCTTCTTGACCTGCTTTCTATTCAAAATGTACAGCAATTTCGGAAACCTTCTCAGATGGTGTATTCCCACTGTCAAGAGTACCAAATTTCATCAACAAACAATGAGTCAGCTTTCCAACAAATCAACCTTGGTTAGAAACTTAGAATGCCCCGGACCACGTTCAATCCTTCAAAAACAAAAAAAAAACAAAAAAAACAGGTTTAGACATGCATAAGGAGGTAATGTACTGGCTCCAATGTAGATTGTATAGTCAGATGGCTGCACATATGACTGTCTGGGGGGATATTATCTCAACTCAGACAGTTGTGCTACACTGGATCTTTCGATATTTACATGAACAGGGAGCTAGATTATGCAGTAGCATTTTGTAACCATTTTGTTTGATAGCTCCTAGCTCTCCCAGGAGCAATCATCTGAAGAGCACCATGAATACACTTGTGATAAGAAAAGTCCTCGGTTGTGCCATCTTTTCTTACCAATGAAAAGCACCGTGTATCTTGATATTCAGGGTGACATGTAACCTGAAATAAAAAGCATCACAAAACATTGGCCAGTTTCACATACAATAATGATAGATTACAGAAAATTATTTTTCACTAGATTATCATTACAACCATGTTTGCATCACTTTTTTCAATAACAATCAATAGGTCAAAAGAAGGTTTGGAAAGTTAAAAAAACTAGATATCTTAAGAGTTTGGAAGGGAAGTAAAGGAATCATTGAGCATAAAGCACACCAACCAAGCCACTTAGAAACATTAAAAACTTTAATGGAACCAGTGGGATTTTGTATAGAAAAACAAATAAAAATAAAGAGTAATCTTTGAACAATTTAAACACTTCTAGATACATTATTGAATTAGTTTCCACTTAAGAAGTTCCATTCAGCAATAATAATAATAACACAAAAAGTATAATATCTATGACTATTGGATATTACTACCTAACAACTCCATAAATATTCAAAAACCAAGGTTAATCGGTACCTTATCACAATTATCTCTAGGTTACATTTTCAAGAACCCTAATATTCATTTTCAGTTTAAGGTCTTTCAGCAAATTATTAACCTAGGATGTATACCAAATTCAACAATTACACCGGGTTTTATATTTGCTTTAATATCATTCACCTAAACAGTATTATTACAAATTTTTGTTTCTCTTAAATTTTAATAACTACAATGACCTGTCCCAAGACTTATATGACTTGTTATTAGACTTGGTTTGAATTGAGTAGATTTATGGTGGATTAAAGAGAATTTTAACAGAATAGAGTGTCACCACAATTCTACCAAGTTTACATAACACAATAAAAGGGTGTGGCAGGAAGTTCTTGCCAACTTATACTAAATGTACACCCAGATTTCCGATTCTTACATTTTTTATGTCCATGTAATGCAACCAAACTATCAGAACTTAAGAAAAGAAAACAGCAAAGTGAGTGGCATCAGAAATATGAGTCCTAACAACAACTTCAAATTTAAACAGGCATTCAATCTATCTTCATGCAACCAACCATGTTTCAAGGATCCAAATAGGCATCTTAATTGTAAATGTAGATTAAGTTAAAGAAAGTTAAGCAATCAGAACTACGACAAGATACTCCGAGTATAATACATGCACTATCCATCATTTCTTTTTTACATACCTTTATTTCCTCGGCCCCATTTCCAATCTTTTCTTCTCTTCGAGGATGAAAACATAAAGCCCTCATCAAGTAAAGTTGGTCCCTTTCATTCAAACTATGATCAATTGGATACCTACATGCAAAGTAGTTACAAACTAAGAAACAGCATAAAAGAAAACTACTTTTAATTATTTTTGCTATAAAAGGAAAGATCATTAGTTCACATAACTAAAGCAATGACAAGGAGGGGCCATGTAAGAAAGTTAAACCCCCTGGCAATTCAGACCTCAAAAAATAAGAATAATGTTGGAAGCAAAGCACTAACAACACGATATAATTATGTTCAGTAATATAAGTATGCTCCTCAACATACATGCTCACATGCACAAATGTGTAAGATGGTATTGTATGTGAAATTGATGTGTTGTAATATAAGTATGTTCCTCAATAGGCATGTTCACATGCACAAATGTGTAAGACGGTATTGTAATGTGAAACTGATGCATTGTCTAACAAATAAATCATTAAGTCAGCAAGAAAGAGAACATGATGAAAGATGAAAATAAAAAAATAAAAAAATCCCTCATCAATGTATCAACATAATTAATCCAGGAAGTCTAAAGAACTGTTGCTAAATCAGTTTCTTATCATGAATTTAATAATATTTTTTCTTTTCTTTTCTTTCCTAAAGTTCTTCTGTCTCCAAGAACATTTAAATTCATTTTAATCAAAGTATGAGACCGAAATAAAAAGTAATCCATAATGTCTAAAGACCTAAGAATTTATTAATAGACATATGTAAGCTATCCGTAACTTCATAGAAATTTAGCTAACAGCTTTATCCAAGAAACTCAGACAAGGTATTAACTAACCTCCTGCCATGTGTCAATCCTTCCCACTGCATAACAGAGCATAGAGTATACAACTGAAAGCTATTTAAATTTTTGAATCTTTAATTACTAAATTGAGCTTCTGTCAACTGGTTAGATGTGTATGTTTAACATTAATAGATTTCATTATGATAACAAATATAGTTAGTATGAGAAAAGAGAAACATTAGACTTAAAAGCAGAGCAAGCAGTTCCACTGGCTATGTCCAAAAAGATACAACTAAGAGAAGCCACAATAACCTCGTAAGCAGAATGTTAACTTTCGGACTTGATTAACATTTATCAACGAAAAAGAGTCCAAAGGAAAAATACAGGACCTTGAATCATTAGATATATATTACGCATGACATAGAGAACACTTTAAAAAAATAAAATTATTAAGTAGTCTAAGAGTTGTCCAATTCAGGAGGCCCTAATAAAAGGTATCATTCCCTAGCAAGAATGCATCACCATGTGATAGATAAAACCATATTTGTTTTTTTTTTTTTTAAGTTTAAGCACATAAAACCTTATTCACACACCACCAAATTGTGAGTGAAACAATGGACATAGCAAATAGAAAATTATTGGAGAATTGACTCACTTGTGCAGTATATTCTTCAATGTACGAGAGAGTTTGTGGATATCATTCACTGTGAAGAAACTTCTCACAATAGTTTCCAATATCTTATATTCTTTAGTTGTTGCAGCACCAATATATGCAAGCTGAGCACCAAATTTGTCAGACATATGGCCCTGAGCATTGTGTAATTCAAATTCTATATCCTGCTTTGAACTGAATGAGGTACCCAAGAGACTATAGACATCAACAGGCTCTGCAAGCTTGTGTCCCTGATGAAAATAGTGAAACAGAGGAGTTTACAACTTTTAAAGACAAACATATAGCCATATAAAATAAGTAATTTCCCCAAACCGTAAATTAAGAAAACCAGAAGAAAGAAAATTCAATGCAAGACCAGAGAAAATTAGATAGATGTTCAAAAAACCCTAGAATAACTTGAAGAAAATATCAATTTCAATGTTATATGATCAAAATTTTAAATACCACTAATATTAGCAAGATAATACAAAATCTACCTCCCCAGAATATATAACATCAAAATGTCCATGGGTGCCAATAGAAGGAACTCTTCCCCACGCTAATGCATCTATACTGCCCTGAAGATTATCTGTGACTCCTGCCTTTGCAGCTTTAATGAAGCAAGCACCAGGATTCTGCAACAACATCTAGAAGCTGAGCATGCACTCTAGGGCAGAAACTGAGCTTCTCTAAAATCATAAATCAATTTATCATTCAAGTAAAACAAATTTGGCATGGAAACTAACAGAAAAGCTTGCTTGCATAAAAGGTGAAGAGACAGATGCATGTTCTCTTTGTTGTGCTAGGCCTTTTGCATTTAAGCCAACAAACTCTCCTGTGGCTGACAGAGTATTTGCAGCAAGAACCAAATGTTGAGGAAGTACAGTCTTGCCAGTGTCAGATATTGCAGACTCCAAATTCTGCATTTAAAATTGAATAATAGTAAGGATTTGCTTTAATTTATTGTTTGCAGACCATATAAAAAGTAAATATAAACTACAATCAAGAGAAACACACATTGAGAAAAAATTTTATCCCGGCACCAATTCCATAGACCGAACAGAAACAACGAATATTATCTGGATGACTGCATGTCCAATCAATCATATCAAAAATCTCGAGGCAGCCATTCATAAGAACACTCCATAAATTTGTTTTACCACTGCCTCTAGACATAGAGATCCTCAAGTAGAGTTCACCAGAAAAACTGCCATGGGTTTTTGATGCTTTTTGTCTATCTTTCCATAAGATATCCACCTTCTTGATCTCCAAGCAACCTAACCAATATGAGAGAAATCCAGATAAAGAAGATTAAAAATAGAAAAGCTTATGAAACACAACACGTGCCGAATACCAAACTAAAATGACAATGTTTCAAAGTTATCAACTATTTGATACAACCCGTTTCCATAGGGGGAAAAAAAACAAAGGCTAGGGAATCATTCCAAAACATTTACAAAATTTTAAGATTTCTACGCAACTTAAGCGATTCAGAAAATAGGCTGAGGGAGGAAGCTAATATTCATCATTCAGATATAAAAGAACAAGAAGATTTCTGAAACAAATTAGAGAAACCAGCTTGCTAACTGAATTATTCTTTTATCTAATGGCTTGAAGCATTTATCATTGCTCTTTTTTTCCACGTTTCTTCTTTAGGATTAAGGTTTTTAGATTTTTAATTTTCCTCAAGACATGCTTTGAACATATTCAGTTTAATCCTTAACGTTATAAATAATTTGGTTTATATCAAAACAGATAAAGAAACGAATGAGAAAACTGGCAATCGATATGGGCCAAACACAGTGGACCAAACCCTGAACCGAGGCAATGAGGCATACATTTTAAAGCATCATATCTAAATAATTGTCCTACAAGTGCAAATAGAAGAAATGAACAAATATATTTCTTTAATGCAAAATCTAGTTTTCTTTAGCTTTAAAACTCCAAGCCTATTTTCCAAAAAGATAATTAGTAAAAATTTCAAAATCTTATATCAAAACAACAAAGAGAATTCAGACTGGGCTTACTTAAATTAGCAAAATTAAATTCCAGTTGTATTCGTAAATGATTTAATTTCCATAGAAACAAAACATAAATCTCCATGGGCATCTTTTCTAGGCCAAATAATGCCTCACTGTTTCCTAATAGCCAAAATGGAAGGACTCAATCATAAATGTTACCTTAAACAAGTGACCAAATAAATGAAATGCAAATATGACACCAACTTCTACCATCAACTTGAATTGAAGTATAGGTTGTACAAGTAAATCTAAAACGTTGGTTCTTAATTTCCTTGACAATAAAAGTAGTTATCGAAACTATCATACTTGGAAAGTGAGTGATGTCTATATCAATCATAAAGCAAAGTTCATTGTTTCTTATCCAAAAATCATTTCATACAACATAACTGAATGCCTCTTCTAAGCATAAATTTAATGCAATAAAGGCCCAGATCACAGTAATGTTCAGAAGGCGTAGGGCAGGACCCGACATTTGACAATATATACAACTTTTAAAAAAACAAATGAATTAAACGTTAATTAACTTAATCAATGAAACTCAAAACAGTAAAGAAGGATAAATCCACACATGCAGCACACTACCAACCTTTTACAACTGTTTTCAGAAGAAAAGGTATCATAAAGTTTCGAATCGTCTCCAATTCTATATAAGATCTCTTGGAGTTTTCAACTAGCATAACAGAGATGCATATTGCATCATCATCCTTCTGAGTATTAACTGAAGAACAGTCCCTGCCATTTAATCAGATAGGTTAAAAAGGAGCGTAAGTTCCAGGAAAATAAATAACTGGACATGATTCCACTTGCAAGAAAACCAAAATGTTCCCCAAAAAAATAAAATGCCAACATTGTTACACATACAGAAACTTTCAAATTCCAACATTTTGGAAAATGCTGCCACACTAAATGCACAGGCAGAGAAGAACATATATTTTGTGTGAAAACATAAACTAATTTTAAGCAAGTATAAAAGTAATCACCAAAGGGAGGAAATATTGAGAGTGACACAGCTTAATCAAAGGACATTGCTTCTAGTTGAATTACCACCAACCCTAAAAGCTAAATATTTAAGCTCTTAAAACATCATCTCACATGCAAGGCATTGAAATCAAAACAATCACCTACAAAAACACAATTTATTTTAGGATCATTAACGCAGTGGGGATTTAAATAGAATAACATTTGGTCAATTTCACTCTAGTACAATATTAAGCTACAAATAAACCCATAATTAAGATACTAGGAGAAGGCGGCCAAAAAGTATTCAGCTCTAACATATATATCATACAGCCTTCATTGATTTTTTGGAATCATTAGCCAAAAAATTGCTTACCGTTGAACGGGTAAAATTCCGCTCCTATCCTTCATGTCAGAGATTAATATTAACTTTTGTCCAACAAAAGAATTGAACTCGAGGACAGATCAAGTCGTAAAGATACAATTATCATCATTTAAACATTTGAACATTTAAAATAAATGTCAATAGGAACCCCTTAAAGAGTGCTTTCAAAGGTGACTTTTGATATACAATTTTCCATCCTACAATGAAATATCATATCAATTTCTTCACATTTTTTATATCTAAAGTTCCAATATATTTACATTTAGAATTCTTTAAGTATTACCAAGTAATCTTGGTCCAAACTAAAGGACAAACGAGAACATTTATGTGAACATTACAATAAAGCCATTCTGCTCCAATTGAAAGGTTAAGCAAAAATACTTACGCGAACAGTGACAAAAGAAGTACATAAACAACGAATAATTTCCTCTTGAAAAAGTTACTAAATTCCATGGTTCTAGGAGATTAAGCAGCTTACTTGCTAGAAATGTGCAAATTGGGAAGACTGACTTTTGGTGTTCTGCCAGAGTTATAGTGCTTATACAGGGCATCAATAATAGAATGTATTTTCAGTCTTCTCCTCTTTAAAATTTCCTGAAAATAAAGTTTTTATTTTTATCGGAAAACAAGACATATAGGCATATAAAATAATATATGATTTTCACAGTGAACTACCTTGCAGACATGAAAATGACAAATCCAAGGACTGAAATGCGTCTTGCTGCAAGTTTGAGGGGAGTAGCTAGTACAGGCAGAACACATCAATCAATATCAGATGCCGGCATTACCATTGAAGTGAACTTAAAAGAAAGAATTATATAGGAAAAAATAGTCAACTTAAAACAAAACAAGACATGATAAACAATAAGATAATAAGGCAATAGAACCTGACATTATCAAGACCGTTGAAACAATATCTGAAAAGAGGAGACACTCCAAATGGTTCTTGACTTCTAAGGCTCCATGTTCAAAACCATGCCTCCTTTTCCCCAGTTTCTTTGATAAATATAGTGACATGGTCTGGTCCGCATTGATTTTCTTTGAACCACATTCCAGTACATTCTGTTCCACAAAATAATGAGACTAAACAAACAGAAGACAACTTTAACAGAACACATTAATCCACCAATTATGAATATACTGAAGTCGCCTCATACTTGGGTCGTTTAAAGAATGCCTATGTGTTTTATATGAAATTGCTGTGGGTTTCCTACAGCCTTTTCATCTTATGTTTTGGCATAGTAGGTTATATTCTTTGGTATAAGCAGGAAAAAGATAAAAGTACTATTGCAAATGTTATTTTAAGACTGAACGAGGGAACCCAAGAGTTTGCCATGTTTCGTCAGATATCATAATCTTGCAAAATAGATTTCTGAAGTAGACATGCTTTAAGGTGACCTGTCTATATTAAAATAAACATATTAAACAAGAACACAACACTTTGTGAAATGAAATCCTAATTGCTGGGTTGTTAGTTCCTCATTTTTTCAAATTCCAAGAGTCAAATATGAATTAGACTCAACTATGCATGGTGAGTATAAGAAAGTAAATTGTGTTTGAAATTTAACAAGGGGTGAGAGTACACCTTTAGATTTAGAAGTGGTGAAGTTTCAAGTAGACTAATTGGTTGATCTAATGCACTGTATGCAACTTCAGAAATTGCACAAGCAGATTGAGAACCGACAGGTTGACCACCTATCTCGTTTGATGGAGTTGATGTGTCTGCATCAATATTATAAGAAAATTGAACAATTTGATTCCCGTAAGCATTTCTGACTGTTCCATCATACGCAGTGCATAAATCACGCATGAAGAACATGAGCCTGCGGGTCAAGGTCCCAGGGAGATCTGCATTGTCACTAAAGGAACTGTCCCGACTTGTTACAGAATGAGCAAAGCATTCCAGAGGATTCAAGCCTTTCAAAAAAGAACTTTTGACCACAGCATATGGTATGTAAGACTTGGCACATTCAGTAGCAGCATCAACCTTTAAACTGTTCCAAGCAGCACATGAGAGCTCATGGGGAAATCTAAATGGCAATGGAGCCAGTGAATACTGCAGGCCAAGACACATGCTTTGTTGGACAAGCTTCAACAAGTTACCCTTACTTCCTGCCTTAAACATAGCCAGCAATGAGTTATTCTTACTTGCATACTTGTATGCTAAATTTTGAATATCCCAAAAAACTTGCTTAAAAGCATCAACAGAAGCTTGACTAAGGGCAGCTGATCTCTGCTTCTCATAACACATGTCCTCCAATTTAAAACCCAAAACATTTTCAGTATCTTCAGCATTAATAAGGAAATCCTTACAAGAATCCAGCATCAGTTGTTTAAAATTACAAGTATGCTCTGCTTCCTGTAAACCATAAAAAATTTCATCCATCATAATGTTGTGGGTGCATGGGTCAGATGACAAATACAAATCTGAGAGCGAAACACTCAGACCCCTTGTTGACAACCATTCACAAAGAACTTCCTGAGCAACATATAAGATGTCAAGAAAGTTATCCGGATATTGGTCGATAAGACTTTGAAAAATATTTCCAGCATTGTCACGCAACCAAGAAGACCCTTCAGAAGATATAATCTCTCCATCTTTGATCTCAACACCTTTAGAGGGAAACACATACCCAAAATTTGGAGGCAGAAGCATGCTGAATAACTGCTTGCCAGTCCAAACACCACCGTTACGCGAAGGAGTTTTAATGATTGCTGGTGATAACAATCGATAAGGACAAAACATTTCCAGCTGTTGCATTTGCAAGTGGCTCAAGAGAACACCATCTTCCAAGACCAAATGAGCAGCAATCAAACTATCCTGACAAAATGATAGTAGGTTCCTACCGCTCTGCTGATTAGTTAACTGTCTATCTAAAGCAACAAGCTCAGTAAGCTCAATTCGAGAATCAATTGATTGAGGAATATAGCCATGAAGGCAATCACCATCAAAGTCCCCATGGAAAGGGGAGCAACAAAGCGGATTTATAGTGACCACTGAGCTAACTGGAAGAACCTTCACAGACAAAGCAATCATGGAGTGTGGATGTGTGGAGGGTGGCCTATTTACCAACACAACATCCCCATCACTTAAGGGCCTATTAATGATGTCCCCGAGTCGGAGTGCATTAATACGATGAAGAGGAGTAAGGCAACCTTTTCTACGAACCACTAGCACCCCCTTCTCAAGAAGACATAAGCTGGAGCAAGCATTCAGTCTTTCCCAATTCCAAGTGTTCAAATGTTCAGAAATTTGTAACCTCTCCGCAACATGGCAGGGAATTCCAATTTCACCAAGCTTGATATTAGGGTCACCAGTGACAACCATGCGAAAACAACGATCATTTCGCTTCCCAAGAACAACATCTTTGATCCATCTTAAACCAGAGCTATAGGAAACATCAATATTCTTCTTTCTCTGGTCATCAACAAGATCTTTACCAGTAGACTTTTCTAAGTGTAGCTGCATATTAGAAGGGTGTATACATTAGCAAATTACACAAAAAATTTAAAAAGATTGTCATGAAGAAATACAAAACAAAGGGTGCAACTGGCCTTTGAAATTTTTAAGCAATGATGAACAAGAGAACTCAATTCATTAGATTTGCCTCTGAAATCAACCAGTTTCTTGTAAGCCCTTGTCCGTTGATCCTACAATCATAGATCAGGTACGAGCATTACATTAGAAAAGAATAACAGAAAAAACTCACAAAATTATTTAAAAAGCCAATTATATAAATCAAGAAGAGAAGTGCAGTGAAAGAAAAATACATACAAACATCAATTGCTTTCCATTTGATAACCCATGTATAACTTCTGTCACACGATGACTATTCGGCGTTATAGGGAAACAAGTAAGGAAAAGTGCATCTTTCCTTGCAATAAATTTTTCAATGAACCTTTGATCAACATTTTTCAACAAATTGCGAACCTATATACAACAAAGCAAACATCATCAGCACAATAGGTTGGCATTAAGATAATGAAAGTGTGACCCTGCGATGACAACCATTGATGAAGATAAAATAAGAAGAGATAGAAGTAAAGCATGGTTCGCAAGGAGATGAAAGAGAAAGCAAAAATGGATATACTTATTTTGATTCCCTAGACCATTCACAAGATGTTTAAGAAATAAGAACCAGATAAAATTCCAAATGCACTCTTTAAACTAGAGTTGGTAGAACAAATAATCCACCATTACACATTTAAGCTTCTCCCTTCATAAAATTTCTCCATGTAATATTTGACATTAGTAGTACTACAAATGGTTTGCAAGCAAAAGAAAGACAAAGCATAAATGACCACACTTTATTCTCGTTTCCTACAATGAAGCTGAACAAGCAGTTAACCAACAACCAAAACATCCCCAGAACAATAATAGTAATTTTAATTGCCTACACCCTACAGATCTAACTATTATTCAGATGTATCTACTCAAGGAACATTCAATTTTGTGCCATAGGATTTTTTTCAACATTCCACATCCAGCACAAGGACACACACTAGTTACACATATATGTAAGGTCTACGCGCACTCCAGGTTCCAAAAAATTAATTCTGAAAAAAATCCATACTAAAACAACGTTTAGAAATTTATTTTCAAATAAATAAAGAAAAATGAAATTGTAGAATGCATGCTACCTGAGCATGTGATAGAACCATTCTATTTAGTTTCAGACAGCTGTCTTCTTGTTCTGAATCCTTCTTCGGAATAAAATTCCAGTAATCATCAGGCAACCTCTTTTGGTACTTCTTTGGCAACTTGTCATCTATTTCAACCGTAATAGCAGTTTGACCAGAAAGATCTTTAGATGAAACTTTAAATTTCATTCTTGGGTACCAACCAACAGAATTTTTCTGTTTAGCAGAAATCAATTTTAATGAAGACTCCAAGGAATAAAAGGAAGCAGACTACTAAAATTAATCATAAGTACCTTTTTTCTCTGTTTATTATTTGTGAAACAGTATTTGCAACCTTCTGGTTGTTGTTCTTTAGCTAAAGAACTACTCCCCTGGCTCATACATAACAATTAAACAAGAAAAAAATCATTACAAGCAGATAAATAATCCTTAACTTGAGAAGTATTTGTTCCATATATAGTCAGTGAAGAGACTCTTGTCGAGTAATTATTTCACAATGATGCTGTCCAAAATAGACTGGAATGGCATTCACCAAGTTTTCTACATCCTTAACAACTAACTTCATGGCAATCACAAAGATACAATAACATCAGCAAATTCATCCTTTTTCAAGCATTTTATAGATCCATTCCTCACATAAACTTCTAGCAAGAAACACAAGTGAAAAAGTTCCTGAGATAATTGAAATAGAATAATAGATACTTCCATTAAGATTCCTCAGTGCTCTAATATAAAAATAAGTCTAAGCAAATTAAAGATACACAAAGAGAAATCTACACAATTGCCAACAATATGAAAAATCTAAGTTTAGCTCGAAGTTTGGGAACTGACCTTATTCGATGTCTTTCCTGATAGATTTACATCCTGGGCATATTCTATTTATATCTTCGTAACTTCTGAAAGAAATATGGATGTTGTATAGTATATGGAAACTTAATTACCCAAAATGACCTGAAAAGTGGATAAATTAGCACAACCATCAATCAAATGAACAAATAGGAACATATCATAAAATGATTTTATTCTAAATTTTGCATCACACCTTCACAGTGTTTCAAATCCTGCGCACCACATGTGGAACACTGAGAGTCGGATTTGGGAACCCTAACCTAGGATCAGTGACCTCACCAACTGCATTGATTGCTAGAATAGACAACTTTTCCTGTTTAGTTATCACAGGTTCATTGATCTTACGGAAAAATTAGATCAAAGTATTCTAGAAAAATAAAAAGTACTTAACTAATCAAACAGGTCTCCTTTTTTTCTATACTTGACATGTGATAATAACCCAAGCATAAATAATAACAATAAATACTTGCATATGGTTTATATAATATCAAATATACAAACCAAAAAACAAAACAAAGGAACCAACAAAAGCAATTACTAACACTAGAACATACAGAATGATTGAACTTAAAAATTAAAGATCAGCTTCATACAATTAAGTTGACTAATAATGTGGGTAGCAATATTGTGAAGTATCATTCAAAGCTTAAGATTTAATGCAAATGCATGCATGTATTATATTTCATTTGTTCAATTGAGCTGCAACAAATTTTGAGCCAATCAACAAGAGTTAGAACATCATGCAAAGAAAAGAGCAAATACAGCTCAAACAGCATCTTACTTATCAGCTCAGTTGAAATTCCAATAGTAATCCCTTTTATGACACCAGATGGCACTTGCAGCTCTGCATACAATCCATTGTCCATTGATACTTGGTAATCTATACAATGAATCAAGCAACCTGAACCATACCCAAGCATTGAAATGATAAACTAACTATAAAATCTCTCAAGCTATAAAAAAAAAAAAAATTAAAATAAAAAAAAAAAAAAAAAAAAAAAAGACGTAAGACATAACAATAAGATTGAACTGACATAGCAGTAAAAGTCTCACAAAAGAAGGTGTAGCATGGTAACCATAATGCCATGCCTTGATCAATAAAGTCCACTAATATAAGAACCACCAAATCCATTCATTGTAAAACAAATTTTTTTCTCCCTTTTCTCTGATCAAAAATTTAGAGTAGATGTTTAAGGTCTGAATAATACCCACACATGAAAGCTTTCAGAGATGTGGAAAAACTACTAAATGAAAATTTCTTAAAGTAAAGAAAACCTATTTAAAACTAGTTTTGTACATATTCAAATCTATTAAACCTGTAAGATACGTTTGCAAACAAAGCCTTCCAGCTTCATTAAGTTTCTCAAGTTTGTCGCAAGGCCAGCTTCAGGTTCCAACCAAAGCCCTTAGAACTTCATCCAGTTCTCTGTCTTAAAGAAAGTGGAAACAAAGAAAAGGAAATAAAAAAATATTCAAAACCTTTGAGAAAAAGAGATTCAAAAAGATTTAAGAACTCTAAGTATGATGAATCAAAACCTAAAATCTACCACAGAGATCACTAATTTCTCTTGAAAGAAACTTTCAAGTGTTTTTCCTTTAAAGTCCTCTTCATGCATTAACTGATCATTCGGTAACGTTTCTAACTAGACATATTAAACTATGTAGTTATATAAATAACATGAATAGAAAGAAATGATAGAGGCGAACCCAACAAGTATTAACGGTCAATTTGATTCCTCAAAAGATCCCTGGTTTATAATCTGAACAGTAACCACATGGAACTTAGAGAATATTTGTTCACCTATATTGATATGTATGTAACCACCACAAAATAAATACAGTTTCAATAATTTATCATCCTTAAGTTATTGAGTTGCCAGCTTCCATACACTTCTTACTTTCTGTTTTAACTAGGTCAAAAAAATAATAATATATTATCACTCCAATAATAACCAACAAGAAAAAACTAAACGCATCCATACGTAAAACAATGAAGAAAAAAAATCAAATACTGGTAGAATTCAAAACAGAATTTATCTCAAGAAATCATGCATATGGTAGTGACTTGACGCACAGGCAATGGCTAGCCACCAAAAAGTTCAGTTTTCCAGATAATCCTGCGATTTTAATTGTTGCACGTTTCAAGTATTTCCTAAAATTTTACAGTAACAGCAACCTCTAGTCTTAGAGAATCCATTATGGCAACACTTTTATTAAATCACAGACATAAGGAAGAAGTGATCATTGGCATGATATAGAAAAGAATATGTTTACATGAAATACTAAATAATTAAACTATACATGCCAAACATGCTTGGCTCATTAATGCCATCGGATTAATGCATCACATAATTTTTAAAAATGTAACCCAAAATACGGACTAGGACAATCTGGCTCTGTATATGCAGCATCAAACCAAAATATACATGGACAAAATGAATATTAATTATTATTGGCCATTACAAATTGCCGAAATCAAACATGTCCCCACAATAATCAATCATAAACAGCATCAACCCATATTTAGCTCACTGAACAACCAGCCAGCTGCAACAGATTCACTTGCTGTTCCTCAATTAAAGGAATTTAAAAAAAAAACACCTGTGGTTTGAGAATGAAAGCACCCAATCATCAATTGACCACACAGTATCAAAGCTCACTCCTAATCAACCTAAAAGAACAACTAGCATGAACCCCATTTTCTTCATTGATCAAAACAGACGCATGAACTTATGCTTTCATTAAGTAACATAGCCAACTAAAGTCATAACCGACATAACAACTACTACAAAAGTGATTGGAGATTAAAAATCTAACATGAGCTAGCATAAAATTCAATGTCAATTAATCCCCTGGATTAAATAACCAAAAAGCTCATGAAGCGAACAAAAACACCAATGAAACCAAAGAAAAAGGAACCTACTTTAAACAAATTACTAAAACCAACCATCAAGACCACCAAAACATAAAAAATTTATATCACATTGTTTATATATAACCCCTCAAGCAGAAACAAACAGCATTAACTCGATTCTCCAATGCATATTACTGCAAAAAAAAAAAAAAAAAAAAAATAAAAAAACCTTAATTCCAAATCCTTACTACCCAAAAATTATTTTTCACATGCAAACAATTACAATCACTCATAATCATCAAAGAAGCCAAACCCATTAATAAATATAGAGAGAGATAAAAAATATCATCAAAAACAAATAAACTTGAACAAGATCATCCATTCAAACCTACCGCATAAATAAATATAGAGAGAGATAAAAATATATCAAACAACAAAATAAACAATTGAACAAGATCACCATTCAAACCTACCGCATTCATTAATGTAAACCCAGAAACATCATAAAACTACTCGCTTTGGTTGACAAAAGTAATGTACTCCACCAAAACACAGATACAAAGACAGTGGCAAGAAGTGAATATAAACACACTCAAAAGAGTTCAGAGAAAGGGACACAAAAAGGAAATTAAAAATTGGAGTAGTAAAACTAAAATAAAAAAATAAAACAAGAAGGTTAATAGAATAGAGGATACGCCGTCGGTTAGTTTGCGCTTACCAAAACCAAAAAGACAAAACGCCGAGTTCATGAGAAAACAGAGACTGGAAGAAACCAGCGAAGGCGGAGTTAAAAAGGTTTTTTCTGTGTTCAGAAAAGAGATACTATAGCCCCTATTTTTGTATTTATTACGATTCTAACCAAAGGGTTGGTATTTGCGTTGCAGACACAGACTTTTAATTAAAAAGTTTACAAAAATTGATGTGCACCTACTTGCTTACACTTTTTTATATTGTCTTGATTTATTTATGGACTCACTTTTTTTTTAGCACATATAACTTTAGGAGAAATGTTATTTTGAAACTTTTTAAGTGAAAAAGTGTTATTAAGGCAAATCTTGATGAAAAAGGTCGTTTACTCAATTAATTAACCAAAACCTTCTGAGAAGACAATAACCCTCAACATAGATCCATCCATCAAAAAGTATTATAATGGTCAATCAAAGAAATTTTTATCCTCCGCTCTTAGGTTCCACGTTCAATTCACATTCTCATACTAAAAATAGAAAATAAATAAAGTTAAAATATGAATAATAGAATACCTACCACTTGGATCAAAATTTTAACTTCACTATTCAGTAGATAATTGGAGAGATGGTTGAACTCTTGCCGGCGACACCTGTTGTGGATGGAGGACCTTAGAATTTTGACACGAATGGTAGGTCTTGCGGTGAAGAAATTGATTAAAGGTACCAACGAATTACTTTAAAAACCATACATCAATAATTATTTTTTTATATATAAAAATACCCTTTAGCTCTGTTAACTTTAGGATTTCTTTCTTTCTTTCCTGTTTGAAAAAGTTGGATTTTTCTCTTTTCCTTCTTAATTTGGAATTTTTACTTAATTCCTTTTTTATAAGATAGATAAATTATTAAAAGGTACATTATTTGGTTAGATAGGTTGGAATCAGTAGAAAAAGATATCATATTATGGAGGTATTTGTCTGAGCTTATGAACAAGCTAATTTTAGTTTATAGTATTTGAAATTTAAAGCAACTACTACGTCTTTAGTTAAAATACTTAAAGTGACTGATAAGTAGTTAACGTGTTTGGTAAAATGTGGTTTATAAAATGTTTATTATAAAAATGGTACTACATTCAACAAGAGTATACATGGAATTTTAAAATTAAACAAGGATAATGTGGTAATATACTTGATCAACCAGCTTATAAGCAAGTGCTTAAGAAAAAAAAAAAAAAAAAAGTTAATTTTTTTTTTTTCTTATAAGCTCAAAAAAGTTATAACACACAGATCAGCTTAATTTTAGAGCTTAGAAATTAGTTTGACCAGCTTACACCCCCTATATATCCCCAACATGGACAAGATATTTGAATTATTGTTGCAGAAAAAGAATCATCTTTTTTTTAACTATAAAATTCATTTTGTGCATTGCAAGTGGATTTATTTTTCTATGAATGGAAATTTTGGGCATGAAATTATATGGTCCAATCAACCAATATTACATATATTTGAATTTCTTACTAATTGTCTAATTAATCATTAATAAACGTTTGACATCTACTAACGACAATATGTCTAAATAAATATCTAACAATATTAAATTTAGATATTTGTATGCTATTGAAGTAAAAAATTATGCCATATATGGTTCGATTTTGAGATAATTTAAAAAGTTATACATATGATATTTTTAAATAACTAGTAGGTGGAGCAGTTGGTGATGTAATAACTTACTAAGGGCATCTCTAACCCACGCTAAAATGGTGCAAAAAATACCAAATTGGCGTGGGTTGGCTCCAACCCACTAGCACTGCACCAAAATGGCGTGGTACTGTAGCAAAGAAATATAATTTTTTTAATTTTGGTTTTTTTGTTTTTTTGTTTTTTTGTTTTTATTTTGTTAAATTAATTTAAGTATTAAATTTTATACTAAAAATCACACCAAATTTGAGTATTTGTATTTAATTTAATTTGATTATTATTTATAATAATGATATAATTTAAAAAATGATGAAAAATTAAAAATAGAACTTTATTCAATACAAATATTAAACTACAATAACTCAAAATAAAAATTAACACTAATTTAAAAACACTAAAATTAAAAGAAAATACAACATAAACTAAAATAACAATTTAGTATTCCGGTAGATTAATTCCGGATCCAGTAAGATCATCAAAATATTGAAAAAAACTTGAATAGACAACACATCTTTTTTTTTTTTTGTATCATTTTATATTAGATGTAATGTTTTCTATAATGTTTTTCTATATTAAATGTAATGTTTATTTGATTAAATAAATGCTTAATTCTATTAAATTAGTATAATTTTCAAAATAATAATTATTTAATAAAAATATCATTCCTAATATTTAATTAATATATACAAAAATAATGAGTGAAATAGATTAATTGTTGATTATCATAAAATTGGAGTAGTAAGTAACAAAACAAATAAATAAAAAGAAGGTTAATAGAATGAGAGATACGCCGTCGGTTATTTGCGCTTCACCAACCAAAAAACAAAACGCCGAGTTCAATGAGAAAAACAGTAGACTGGAAGAAGACCAAGGCGAAGGCGGAGTAAAAAAGTTTATTTGCTGTGTCAGAAGAGATACTATAGCCCCTTTTTTGTATTTATTACGATTCTAACCAAAGGGTTTGTATTGGCGTTGCAGACACAAGACTTTTAATTAAAAAGTTAACAAGTTGATGTGCACTTACTTGCTTTACACTTTTTTATTTGTCTTGATTTATTTATGGACTCACTTTTTTTTAGCACATATTAACTTTAGGAGAATGTTTTTTAAACTTTTTAAGTGAAAAGTGTTATTAGGCAAATCTTGATGAAAAAAAGGTCTTTACTCAATTAATTAATCAAACCTTCTGAGAAGACAATAAACCCTCAAATAGATCCATCCATCAAATAAATATATAATCAAATCAAAGAAATTTTGATCTCCTGCGCTCTTGGTTCCACTTCATTCACATTCTCATCTAAAAATAGAAAATAAATAAGTTAAAATATGAATAAAATAGAATACCTACCACTTGGATCAAAATTTTAACTTCACATCAGTAGATAATTGGAAAGAGTGGTTTAGACTCTTGCCGGCGACACCTGTTGTGGATGGAGGACCTAGAATATGACGACGACTGGTAGGTCTTGCGTGAAGAAATTGATTAAAGGTACCACGAATTACTTTAAAAACCATACATCAATAATTATTTTTTAAATTATAAAAATACCCTTTAGCTCTCTGTAACTTTAGGATTTCTTTCTTTCTTTCCTTTTTGAAAAAGTTATTTTTCTCTTTCCTTCTTAATTTGGAATTTTACTTATTTCCTTTTTTATAAGATAAGATAAATTATAAAAAGTACATTATTTGGTTAGATAGGTTGGAATCAGTAGAAGATATCATATTATGGGTATTTGTCTGAGCTTATGAACAAGCTAATTTTAGCTTATAAGTATTTGAAATTTAAAGCAACTACTACGTCTTTAGTTAAAATACTTATAATGACTGATAAGTAGTTACGTGTTGGTTAAAATGTGGTTATAAATACGTTTATATAAAAATGGTACTACATTCAACAAGAGTAACTATGGAATTTTAAAATTAAACAAGGATAATGTGTAATATACTTATCAAACCAGCTTATAAGCAAAGTGCTATAAAGAAAAAAAAAAAAAAAAAAGTTAATTTTTTTGTTTTTATAAGCTGCAAACAAGTTAGAACAAACCGACATCTGGACATAGCAGTAAAAGTCTCAACAAAAGAAGGTGTAGCATGGTAAACCATAATGCCATGCCTTGATCAATAAAGTCCACTAATATAAGAAACCACCAAATCCATTCATTGTAAAACAAATTTTTTTCTCCCTTTTCTCTGATCAAAAATTTAGAGTAGATGTTTAAGGGCTTGAATAAATACCCACAACATGAAAGCTTTCAGAGATGAGTGGAAAAACTACTAAATGAAAATTTCTTAAAGTACTAGAAAACCTATTTAAAACTAGTTTTTGTACATATGTCAAATCTATTAAACCTGTAAGATACGTTTGCAACAAAAGCCTTCCAGCTTCATTAAGTTTCTCAATGTTGTAGCAAAGGCCAGGCTTCAGGTTCCAACCAAAGCCCTTAGAACTTCATCCAGTTCTCTGTCTTAAAGAAAAGTGGAAAACAAAGAAAAGAAGGAAAAATAAAAAAAATATTCATAAACCTTTGAGAAAAAGAGATTCAAAAAGATTTAAGAACTCCATAAGTATGATGAATCAAAACCTAAAATCTACCACAGAGATCACTAATTTCTCTAGAAATAAACTTTCAAGTGTTTTTCCTTTAAAGTCCTCTTCATGCATTAACTGAATCATTCGGTAACGTTTCTAACTAGACATATTAAACTATGTAGTTAATTTATAAATACACGCATACAGAAAGAAATGATAGAGGCGAACCCAACAAAGTATTAACGGTCAATTTGATTCCTCAAAAGATCCCTGGTTTATAATCTGAAACAGTAACCACATGGAACTTAGAGAATTATTTGTTCACCTATATTGATATCTGTATGTAACCACCACAAATATAAATACAGTTTCAATAGATTTATCATCCTTAAGTTATTGAGTTGCCAGCTTCCATACACTTCTTACTTTCTGTTTATTAACTAGGTCAAAAAATATATATATATATATATATATATTATCACCTCCAATAATTAGCCAAACAAGAAAAAACTAAACGCATCCATACGTAAAACAATGAAGAAAAAAAAAATTAAATACTGGTAGAATTCAAAACAGAAATTTATCTCAAGAAATCATGCAATATGGTAGTGACTTGACAGCACAGGCAATGGCTAGCCACCAAAAAGGTTCCAGTTTTCCAGATAATCCTGCGATTTTAATTGTTGCACGTTTCAAGTATTTCCTAAAATTTTACAGTAACAGAAGCAACCTGCTAGTCTTAGAGAAATCCATGTATGGCAACACTTTTATTAAATCACAGACATAACAGGAAAGAAGTGATCATTGGCATGATATAGAAAAGAATATGTTTACATTGAAACTACTAAATAATTAAACTATACATGCCAAACATGCATTGGCTCATTATATGCCATCGGATTAATGCATCACATAATTTTTAAAAAATGTAACCCAAAATACGGACATAGGACAATCTGGCTCATTTATATGCAGCATCAAACCAAAATATAGCATGGGGACAAAATGAATATTAATATCTTATTGGCCATTACAAATTGCCAGAAATCAAACATGTCCCCACAATAATCAATCAGTAAACAGCATACAACCCAATATTTGAGCTCACTGAACAACCAGCCAGCTGCAAACAGATTCACTTGCTGTTCCTCAATTAAAGGAATTTAAAAAAAAAACACCTGATGGTTTGAAGAATGAAAGCACCCAATACATCAATTGACCACACAGTGATCAAAGGCTCACTCCATAATCAACCTAAAGAGACAACTAGCATGAACCGCCATTTTCTTCATTGATCAAAACAGACGCATGAACTTATGCTTTTCATTAAGTAACACTAGCCAACTAAAGTCATAACCGACATAACAACTACTACAAAAGTGATTGGAGATTAAAAATCTAACATGAGCTACCATAAAATTCAATGATCAATTAATCCCCTGGATTAAATAACCAAAAAAGCTCATGAAGCGAACAAAAACACCAATGAAACCAAAGAAAAAGGAACCTACTTTAAAACAAATTACTAAAACCAACCATCAAGACCACCAAAAACATAAAAAAAAAATTATATCTACATTGTTTAATATATAACCCCTCAAGCAAGAAACAAACAGCATTAACTCGATTCTCCAATGCATATTACTGCAAAAAAAAAAAATAATAATAATAAAATAAAATAAAAACCTTTAAATTCCATAATCCATTACATACCCAAAAAATTATTTTTCACATGCAAACAATTACAATCACTCATAATCATCAAAGAAGCCAAAACCCCATTAAATAAATATAGAGAGAGATAAAAAATATATCAAACAAACAAAATAAACAATTGAACAAGATCATCCATTCAAAACCTACCGCATTCATTAATGTAAACCCAGAAAACATCATAAAACTGAACTCGCTTTGGTTGACAAAAGTAATGTACTTCACCCAAAACACAGATACAAAGACAGTGACAAGAAGTGAATATAAACACACTCAAAAGAGTTCCAGAGAAAGGGACACAAAAAGGAAATTAAAAATTGGAGTAGTAAAACTAAAATAAATAAATAAAACAAGAAGGTTAATAGAATAGAGAGATACGCCGTCGGTTAGTTTGCGCTTACCAAAACCAAAAAGACAAAACGCCGAGTTCAATGAGAAAAACAGTAGACTGGAAGAAGACCAAGGCGAAGGCGGAGTTAAAAAGGTTTATTTGCTGTGTCAGAAGAAGATACTATAGCCCCTATTTTTGTATTTATTACGATTCTAACCAAAGGGTTTGGTATTCTGCGTTGCAGACACAGACTTTTAATTAAAAAGTTTACAAAAAGCTGATGTGCACCTACTTGCTTTACACTTTTTTATATTGTCTTGATTTATTTATGGACTCACTTTTATTTTAGCACAATATTAACTTTTAGCCGATAAATGTTATTTTGAAACTTTTTAAGTGAAAAGTGTTATTGAGGCAAATCTTGAATGAAAAAAAGGTCGTTTACTCAATTAATTAATCCAAAACCTTCTTAGGAAGACAATAAACCCTCAAAATAGATCCTCCAAAAGTATTATAATGGTCAAATCAAAGAAATTTTGATCTCCGTTTCCTCTGCTCTTAGGTTCCACTATCAATTCACATTCTCATACTAAAAATAGAAAATAAATAAAAAGTTAAAATATGGAATAAAATAGAATACCTACCACTTGGATCAAAATTTTAACTTCACTATTCAGTAGATAATTGGAAAGAGTGGTTTAGACTCTTGCCGGCGACACCTGTTGTGGATGGAGGACGTCATAATTGTTGACGACGAATGGGCTAGGTCTTGCGGTGAAGAAATTGATTAAAGGTACCAAGAATTATCTTAGAATTAGGATTCTTTTTTATTTTAAAAACCATAAATCAATAATTATTTTTTATAATTATAAAAATACCCTTTAGCTTCTGTTAACTTTAGGAATTTCTTTCTTTCTTTCCTGGTTTTGAAAAAGGTTGGATTTTTGTTCATTTTTCCTTTTAATTTGGAATTTTTACTTAAATTCCTTTTTTATAAGATAAGATAAAGTATTAAAAAGATACATTATTTGGTTAGATAGGTTGGAATCATTAGAAAAAGATATCATATTATATATCCCCAACATGGACAAAATATTTGAATTATTGTTGCAGAAAAAGAATCATCTTTTTTTAACTATAAACTTCATTTTGTGAATTGCAAGTGGATTTATTTTTCTATGCATGAAATTATATGGTCCAATATTACTTACATTTGAATTTCTTACTAATTGTCTAATTAATCATTAAAAAACGTTTGACTTCTACTAACGTCTAAATAAATATCTAACAATATTAAATTTAGATATTTGTATGCTATTGAAGTAAGAAGTTATGCCATATATGTTTGGATTTGGTTCCATTTTGAGATAATTTAAAAAGTTTTCTCGGCTATACATATGATCTTTTTAAATAACTAATAGGCGGAGGAGTTGGTGATGTAATAACTTACTAAGGTGATTGGTCCACCATGTTGGGATTGAGACATGACCAAGACCCCTACAGTAGGTGAGTGAAAGTCTAACGAAGAGGTAAAAAGCCTATGGGTTGTGAACTTCTTTTCTTGGAGAAAAAACAATGACAATATCTCAACAATAAACATCGGCTCATTATGTGTCAATAGCCATGGTAATACAAATAATACAAGCATTATCCGTCTGTAGATGGCTTTTTAAGTTTGACTTCAAATCCTGGATCGGGGATGTAAACTACCAAATTGCATAATGGTAGAGGTAGAGGGAATTTCCGCAACATAACTTATTTCAAAATTGTCTATTTGTGTTACTCAATGCAATCAATAAAACAAGTTGAATGAGTTTATTTGATGTGAATTAAAAGTTTTCAATAGTTGAGTTATAACTAGGGAAATAAATTTCATGTTGAATAGATTTTGTCATGTTATAATTGATAGTGAAATAAAAATTACAAAACTATATTTCATATTTGAAACATTATATGTGAGTATGGTTATTAAAATTTAATTACAGATAAAACCATTTAAAATATAAAAGAGAACAGGAAATAGAATGATTGCCAACTCGTTAATGTTTCTTTCCATAATTGCTTAAACAAATATTGTCATCTCGTATATATATCTTTGGAATTCATTCAAAAATGAATACAATGTCACATTATTTATAGGATATAAATACTCCTAATTTTTTTCATTCTACTTATAACATTATCCATATAAATATTAATAACAAATAATACAATACTTTATAGAACATATGTATAATGAAATTAGTTTAATTTATCTTTTATATTCCTCAAATCACAGGTAAAGTTAAAATATAAAATTCCAGATAGGAATTATCAAAAATAATTTGAATGTAACAATCTTAAGGGTTTTTTTTTTTTTTTTTTTGAATTTTAAAATTCAATTGGCTTTTATTATAATTCAAATAAGATTATGTTTATTTGAAATCTTGTATTTATATCCTAAAATTCTTAATTTTTTTTTCAATTATTTGAAATTAGCTGGTTTATTGAAGTTGAAAGTTGGTTGAATATGATACGAGTCATACGACCAAACGTAACTATCCAAACAAATCCAGATTCAAAAACTTTTAAATAAAATAAATTAAAATGACCACATACAGCTGTAACAATTCATTAAATGTAACCCCAAAAAAATGACTTAACATTATGGAAAGACAATAATGTCCTCAATGAATATTTACTTGATTATACCGTATATAATGATCACCCCTATATTAAGAATAAATAATACTACATATACAACCTGATGTGTTTTAATGTAATTGAATTATTTTAGGGTCTGTTTGAGAGTTTTTTTTTATTGATTTTGGGAGATTTCTAATTAGACTGGTTTTGAGGTGTTTAAAAGCTATTACTTGCCAGATTTTTTATGGACTGGTTTTGACTGGTTTAAAAATCCCCCAAAACCAATATACTGTATTTTTTAGAAGTTTATAAAATACCTCAAATCGAGGTGTTTTGGCTGGTTTAAAAATTTTTTCCAAAAAAAAAAACTCTTTCCACTATTATTATGTGATATACTCTAATTTTCAACAAAAAAAAAAATCTGACGGTAGTTGGAACATGTAATGACTTTTTCATTAATTATATGATCCATACAATTTGCAGGTACATATTGAGTGTTGGGTGGAATGACAAGCTACAGCTTGGATCTCTCATTTCTACTTTTAAAAAGCTAGATCTGCCCTTGCTGCTTATGCAAAGTAGATATTTTTGTCAAGTTTGGACATGTTCCATTTCACTTCTGAGTTAAAATGGTTTCTTATGGTGACAATAGTAGACAAGCTCCAATGTCGTTATTTTGGTCGATTTCTGAGTATAACTAGCAATTATCATATTGTTCTCTAACGTAGTACATATGCTATGAACACTTAAAAGAATGTAGAGTTAACAAGTGTTGGATCTAACCATACATATTCACGGGGGGGTCCCAGATTGTACATTTATGTGCATGTCCAAATACATTTTTAGGAGTTACTCTTTTATGTCTGCATGTTCTGCTTCTTGGCAAAAATTGGTGCTCAAAAAGCCATGTTCTACTTTTTATTTTCATGCCACTCTTTTTCATCATGCTAAATTACTCCCAAAGGTGCATGATCTGGAATATTAATACGTGTTAAATCTTCAATGTTTCTTTAATTGGTTGTTTTTGAAAATTATAGTGCATGGATGCTTCAATTTTAGTTCCTCATATTCAAACTATTTATTTTTCTGAACAATTGTCTTTCAGAGTTTGTTGTTTTTGGATATGAATTGGGTTATTCAATGGAAAACCCGAACTCATTGGTAATGTGGGAAGCTCAATTTGTCTAGTTTTGCATATATTTTCAGCAAATCTAGTTGTTGAGTGGAAGTCAAATTACCAAGTATGCTAATAGTGTCAGCGTAGCAAATGTCATCAACTAAATTATATATTTTAGTGAGAACATACAAATAAATTAAATAATATACAATGAAATAACTTAGAAATAAATTAAACTTGAAAGGAACTTTGATACTAAGTATTGGTAATTGAAAAAAAAAAACTCCCAAGTACTGGTTGAAGTTGGGGTATTTTTATGGGCATATATGTAAATTTATCATTTTAAAAAACTGTCAGAACTACTGGAAAATAAACTCTTAAGCACAAGTTTGGTGTTTTAAAAACTGTTACTAAAAACCCTTATGGCGGTTTACCCTCAAAACCGCTACGATGGTTTACTCTCATAACCGCTATCATAAAACTCCAAAGCAGACCTTTAGAATAATACTATATTTACAAACACTTCTCACAAACTTTTTTTCATAAATGCCACGTGTCGGCACAATGGGTCCCGCTGACCAAGCCAATTGGAAATTACCACATAGGGTTAATAAGAGGTGTTAGTGAGAGATGTTTGCGAGACTAGTATTATTATTCTAAATTAGGGATAAACTTAACAAATTAGAGAAAATGATGTGTGTAGACGATAAAATCTACCCTGAATTATTGTTGGGATGTTGAGCCACTAATATTCACGAATTCCTATGGGTGCATTTGGTTTATTATTTTGAATAGGATTATGGGAATAATATTGGGTAGTTGAATAGGGAGTATTACAAGGTAAAATTTAAAAATTTCTAAAAAAACCCCTTAAGTTTGCTAATTTAATTAAATACCCCAATATATAAAAATTGTGTAAAATGACAAAAACACCCCTATCACCCGCAGTGCCAAATTCCTTCCATCACCGTCAGAATTTGGCAAGAAAATTGCGTTACGATACAAACCGGTCGGATATGTGTCGTAAAGTGTTGATATGGCCTTTTTCAGCCAAATCCACGAGATCTACGGCCAAATACGGTCGTCGACTGCCGCAAAGGTCCATCTTTGGCTATCAACGACGACCAGATCGGTGAATAACTGGCCATTTTCGGTCGTGGTGTAAACCGTTGTGACAGATTCTGGCTACCACTGATGGTGGTTGCCAAAATCTAGCAAGTATGGGTGGATGAGGGTATTTTTGCTAATTTTTAAACTTTTTTTCTAAGGGTATTTAATGAAATTAATAAATTTAAGGGGTCTAAAAATAATTAAAAAATATACTAATATTTCTCAAATAATGTACCAAATAATATTTAGGAAATAAGATTGAGGATATAAGTAGAAATATTAAACCAATCACATCGTATATTAT